AAAGGGGATACAAACACAATACACGTAATTAAAATACACAAGAGTCATACAGCCATACAAGTCGAGAGGGGAGGGGATTATCACCAGATTTTTCCCCCCTCTCCTTTTCTTTTTCTTCCTTCCCTCCTTCTCTCCCTTTGTTCCTTTCCTCCCTTTATTATCCTCAAGGCAGTGAACATATCCAACACACCTTCCTCTTCTGATTGACCCAACAATAAACTTGGTTGAATTAGCCTCCCGTCCTTCCGAGGTGGGTAAAATGAGGACCCAGATTATTGGGGGGCCAGAGACCGACTCTGTAAACTGCTTAGAGAGGGCTGGGAACCACTGTGAAGTGGCATAGAAGTCTAAGGGCTATTGCCATTTTCCTTCCTTCCTTCCTTCCTTCCTTCCTTCCTATTAGAATGCAGTATTGCAGGATAACTCTGCCCACTGCCATGAGTTCAAATCTCGCCGCAAAGAGTTTTGGAGGCCCTGTGTTTGGCTGAAGTCTTGAGTCTCTCTTGCGGGCTAATCTGACAAATAACGCAGCAAAATGGCCTCGCGATTTATTTATTCATATTTTATTAATCACCAGGAATGTAATTATTAGTTGCTTTCCTCTTGTCCTTAGCCCAGCCCACCTTAGATTTATATAGCGCTTTCCCAGGGCTTTCCAGCCCTCTCTAAGCAGTTTACAGAGTCGGCCTCCGGCCCCCAACAATCTGGGTCCTCATTTTACCCACCTGGGAAGGACGGGAGGCTGAGTCAACCTTGAGCCGGTCAGAATCTTCTGACGCTCGATCTTCGACCTGCTTTGGTTCAGAAGACCCGGCTTGCCCTCAGGTGGCCTGGGGCACCGAGCACGTGGGGGCCACCCTCCTGCGTCTCTGGGGAAAGCGGCATTGCAACAGGTGTGAAAAAGAAATCTCTGGGCAATTGCTCAACCTCTGGAACTGGGCTTTTTTGCACGGAGGCCGCTGGGGGATTCATGCGGACGGAGCTGGGCTCCGCAGCCGCCGCGGTGAGACGCTCAGCGAACACGAAGGCCAACGGGGCAGGCAACGGGAGCCGCTGGGCCTTTCGTGGCTCCTGAGCCTTCCTTGCTGACCTCTCTGGACTGGAAGAGACGCTTTGGCCTCTTCGGAAGGAGACTTTCGACCCCTTTGCTGGGGGGGTTCCAGCCGTCTGTAGGGGAATACTGGCAAAAACCAGTTTAGAGACGCTCCGGCTAGGATTCGCATGACACATGTGCTTGTGACGTCAGGTCATTGTGTCCCGCTAAGCCCACGTGGGCCACAATTACGTCGATAAGCCACCACTGAGAGGGAGCATTTTACAAGCTAAAGAGATGCTATCTCACCCAAGTGGATTCCGAGACCTCTTTAAACAGGAATTCCAGAAGCCCCTTCCTTATTAGTTTGGCTTTCCTTTCTGGAATTCCAAAAGCAAAATAGAGGATATCAACCGGAGGGAGAGGCAACGGATTAAGATGAAAATCCACATTTCCCCCAAATTAAAAAAACAGCTAAGGGCACCCAAATCTCAATGGGACTTTTAAGTATAGACTTTGATGTTGAGGTGTATTTTCTGATCGCCTATAAAGGCAGGAAGTAATTAAAATCCCCCCGGAAGAAAGAGCTGAAAAGAATTCCCAAATCAGAAGACCCCGCAACGCTCAGTTGCCAATTAGACAGAAATTAAGATTACATGAATTTTATTTTTTTTAAAATCTGTTTCCGGAGAGACTTTTAAGGGGCTGGCTGCCCTCCTCCTGAAAAACAAAAAACCCATCAAATACCCTTTCTAGACTCTCTCCCGTTTGAATTGCCCCACCCAATGAGTCCCCTTCGGGGAAAAGGGTGGCATATAAATGTAATAAATCAATCAAATCAATCAATCAATCAATCTGGTACCCCAAGACACAACAAGATCAAAGAAAGAAGATGTTTATCAAAATACTTTATTTTCAGCATAACCCCTCAAAAAAGGAAAAAAAAAAAAAGGAAAAAAAAATCCTCCCTCCTTATTAGACATACATCCTGACGATATCTTTTGTTTTTTTTTCTCTCCTCTGGTTTTAAATCAACTAAAACAATCTTTTGGTTAAAATAAAGGAGACATGGAATTTTCTCATCACGGGTCTCTATGCAGCTGGGGGTGGGAAGGGGGGGGGAAGGAAGGGGGAGAGGGGGCGGAGTGGAGAGCGTCCGCTGGTGACGGCCTTTGAGGGCTCTCTCCTTACACGTGCGCGGAAGGGCACGGCTGACGACACCCGACACGTAGCGCTGGCTAACTAGGGGGTTGCAACTCATAGCTAGCAAAGAGGTGGGTGGGGGAGGAGGAGGAGGAGGAAGAGGAGGAGGAGGAGATGGCATCGGACAAGGCTGCGGTGAAGAGCCCATGAGGACCAGGAACACGACCGCGGCGAACACTTGCGCCCGACGCCCGCAGCACCTGGGTGAGAGAGGCAATCCGGGAGGGGGGGAGGAGAAGGGGACCCTCTCTCACACAGGAACTGGGCACGGGTGGATTCCAGCTGACAAAAATTATCCAATTTGTTGTTGTTTTGTTTTTGTTTTTAAAAAAACGACCACAGCCAAAATGAAACAGAACTGCAAAATCCGACGTGGCTGTTTTGTACGCTATGTATAAAACCACAGGCGCAGAGTCTCTTAATCTGGGCTGGACCCAACGCTCCACTATACTTTCCCGGGGATCTTGGCCCGCTTCCGAGCGATGGCGTCTTCCACGGCCTTCAGCTGCTTCAGGAGCTCCTCCCTTCGCGACAACGTGCTGGACTTGCCCGATTTGGCGGGGGCAGCTGGAGGGGCCGGCTCAGCCGCTTTGCCTGGGATGCTCGTGACCTTGCTGGAGCTCTTCGACGGAGGGGAGAGTGGGCGCTTCCTGGAAGAGAGCAAAGGCAGCCTTTGGGGCCGGTGGGGGAGAGGCAGGGAGGGGATGGGTGGGAGAACCAGAGGGCCCGTCATTCTGTAAAGCTGCACCAGCGAGCAGGTTCTGCCGAAGGGGTGGTGGACTTTAGAACCACAGAGTCGGAAGGGACTGCAGTGGGCCCCTACCCTCTACTCCACCTTCCTTAAAGTTGAACTTCAACTCCCAGAATTCCCTAGCCAGCCATTCTTAAAGGCGGACATCTTAATGCCTCCAAGGTTGAGGAACACTGATCCAGTCCCTCCCTCTCCACGTGTGGGAAAAGCAACTCAACTGCCCCTTCGAGAGTTGGAGGGGGAAAAGGGGCCCGGCGGAAGGCTCAGGAAGTCAAACTCGGAGGATCGACAGAGCCAGGAGCCTGCAGCCCTGCGGCGTCCCTGGCCAGTGGGCAGCAAAACTGCTGGAAACAGTTTGCTTCAACTGACCTGGTCGTGGCTCGATTAACCAACGGAGGCTCCAGGTAACTGTGACTAATGCAAGGGAACGTCACCCATTCAGACATTTTCTTCACCTGACACACTATGTCGCAATGGCTTAGCACACGAAGCAACTAAACCGGGGACACAACCGGCCCCTGACTAGGCTGAGGCTCAGAAACGCCAGGGCTGCTCCAGGCGGGGCTCCAGGTGGTCCTCCGGTAATGACGCTGTGACGGCCTCGGAGATAGTGACTCGCAAGCTGTCGGTTATGACTATTGCACCAGCACCAGGGCAATCGTGTGATCACGTTGTGGGTGCTTGGCAACCGGCTCACAAGGGCGGCAGCCTTTTGCAGTCACACAGTTGTGACTTGTGACCTTCCCAGCCGACCTCTGACCAGCCAAGCCAGTGGCGCTCGTAACAACCACATTATTTTACTTAACGACTGAGATAAAAAAATAAAGATTGTAAGATCAGGCCTGGCCGCACCATGGCTTGCTTAAGGACTGAAAGCCCGGTCCTAAGTGTGGTGCCAAGGGCTGTTGGTAACGAGAGGCAAGCACTGATTTGGGCTTTTGGCAAAAGAGGGGAAAAGGGCATTTCCTTATCAAACTAACCTTGGTGGGTTTGGGCATCCCAGGGAAACTTCCACCCGATGAAAGGGGTCAGAGAGGGGGCGAGGAAGACTCTTCAATGCCCCAAGTCATCGGCTGCTCCCTTTGCAACTAGGAATAATCTTCCCCAGAGGAGGAAACCTCGCCCGCCTCTCTTTCACGGGGCCGCTAAGAACCCCCTCCGGCCAGCAGGGCCGAAATCCCGCTGCCCCCTGGAGCTGCTTGAGGCCCTCCCCAGCACCCTGAAGTGGGGCAGTGGCATCCTGGGTGATTCCCCCCGAAGGAAGGCCCAGTAGGCTTTCCGGATGGGCTCCTTCTCGGTCTGGACAAAGCTCCCGGCCGGCCGCAGAGAGGAGCAGATGCTCTTTTGTCCCTTTGGGTCCAGGTCTGGGAGACCCTGGCCAGGCAGCCCCCGTGGAGCCTGTGGGGCGACCTGGGCTGAGGAGACGGAGCGGAACTCACTTGTCAGCCTGCGCTGGGGAGGGCTTTGGGTTGGGCCCCCGCTGACGGTCCTGTTTAGGAGAGGAGAGCCTTCCGGCGAGTTTCCTGTCGCGAATACCTGAGTGGAAAGAAAAATTAGCCAAGGAGCCTGGGGCTGACGCCGATCCTTCGAGGTAGACCAGGCTAGGAAACCGAAACCATCCAAGCCGAGATTGCTTTTCCTGTTATGAGTCCCAGATCTGAATGCCTCCCCCTCCCTTTGGTCTTTGTGAGAACTAGGGAGGGTCTTGGCCCTGACGCTTTCCCGGGTTACAATTCTGGCCCCTGACTCCGGTTTCTTTTATCTGACTGGCCCCTGGTAGCGGCTTTTCCTCCAGTTTCTCAAGGTCGTTCCTTCTACCCATTGTAGGGTATATGTATATTGCTGGTCTTTGACCGTAATAAAGATCTTACTTACTTCTACCCATTGCCTCTCTGGAGGAACTGGCTAAGGCGAAGGCATATTGACATAAACAGACTGACCAGCTGGCACTTGAGCACGGGTGGGGTTTTTAGGGGCATCAGCAGGAGGGCAAGAGGGAACGGGGAGGAAACCCAGAAAGGAGACAAATCCAGGCTAACAGCAGAGACCAATATCTTGTAGTGGCTTAAATCCCAGCCGCACTTGAGCTACGTTCTTAGCAGTCTTTACGACAACTCTGTAAGGTAGGCCATCAATCCTATCTCACAGGGAGGGAGGGAGGCCGAAACTGAGAGAGAGAGCGAGAGAGAGAGAGAGAGAGAAAGAGGGAGAGAGAGGGAGAGAGAGAGAGGGAACAAGCCCAGAGTTCAAGGCAGAGGTGTGATGTGCACTGGGGATTTTCCATTCCCACTCTTTTTAGATTTACACAACACATTTCTCAGGTGGCAAGATCAGCTAAAGGAATGTGGCACCGCGCTTGGCACTCGGGAGGAAAGCCTCTGCTTTAGCAACAGGGCTCGGGGCCAAGCCGGTGCCTGAGGTGGCATGAGCAACAGCGGGTGCCGAGTGCTGCCAGGCAAGCTGGCTGATCCTCTAACACGAGGGCATTGTGGCAGCCTGGAGCTCTCAAGACGACGAGGCATCAACGCCCCCCCCACCCCCCGGCTTCTCTTGCTTCACCCGCTTGCAAGCGGATGGCTGCAGACAAAGGCTTGCACTTCCTTTCACACACACACACACACACACACACACACACACACACACACACACACACACACACA